AATGTTAAAGAACAATGAATGCAACTGTAAACCATAGAATTTCTCAGTAGCAGGGGGATTTAACGGAAACTGTCTTGATTTACCGAAACGCTGGTCAATTTTGAAAACCACATTCGACAAAGAGATATGCAACATAATTGATGGATTTTAAACAATCTTCGTCGATGACGATTACACTCAAAACATCTAGGGTAGTTTGAATTGCAACGCTAGTGGCTAGACATGCATTTATAATATAATCATGACAAAGTTAAAATTCCAGTATAGTCATGTTCATCACTGATCACTGAGAAGGACAATGTTTGTATCTGTGTGTGTGTCCGTTAGGCCCCATTAAAAATTATTAGTTTATCACCCTATCAAAGAATAAAAACTGATGAGGGAGGGAGTTGTACCAGTAGACATATTTGCAAAAAATCCTGAGCTTTTCAAGTGAAACAAGATGGAAAAATGAAAAATGACCGCTTTAAATAAGAATATATGTTGATTGAAACAAACAAAAACATCAGAATTTCCCCAAAAGTGATGAGCGAGGGGGTTATAAACTAATAATTTTGTATGGGGCCTTATTTGTTGTGCAGTTAGGTGGCGCTGCATTGCGCCTGCTGCGAGTACCCAGGGGCCAAGCCCGAATTTCCGATTTCCAATTGAATGAGGACCAATAAAGAATTATTTACTTATTTATAAACAAAAATAAAATATAATAAAATAAATAACTAACTCAAAAGTAAGGCGAGTACCGTACTTCGTCATAATAGCTTATTCATCAAAATTATGATTCCGTTTCATTCCAAGCAAATTAAATGTTTTAGATGAAATGCAACTTTATTCAAAAGTAAACAATTGTTGAAAAAGAAAACTTTAAGAACGTATTTTATTTTGCATTTGTATGGAATAGATAGGCTAGGTATCCTACACGCATTCGACCCACACACGTTTCCGTTGTAAATAGTTCAATTGTGTCTATACTTTAAAGCCGAGACAACTATCAGTACTACCCAGTCTCACGTGTACACGTCATCATTGTTTTGAGATTGCATTCATTTTTATTACATGTGGAAAATATAAACATATCCAGAGCTCTCCTTTTGATTGGCTATGATGCAACACGTAGTTTTATTTTTGCATTGGCCGATCGCACCTGCCAGCCGTACGCGCAGCTTTGACGTCACCAGTGAGAACCATACCGGTACTTAGTCTAGGACACGTTTCCGCACCAATGGAAAATATATTCCCATTACTCTTTATAAACATCTAGGCCTATTGGGTCTGTGTTACAACAGAAGAAATTTCTTATGTAGTTATTTTTTGCACGTTTTATAATATACCCAGTTATTATGTATGCGGAAACAGAAAAGAAGTTATCCCGATGTGCGGCACCGTCAGGGAATGGGCTCTAAACTATCTAAAATTATTGCATTTTGGACCGTCATCGGATTAATCCCACATGATTGAGATTGGTTGAAATATGCTTCACATGAGTCTTAAGCGGATTATAATCGGTTATTTCAGTCGGATAATCGTCAGATAATAACCATGTCGCAGAATCATGCATAAGAATAGACCCTACTAAGTTGATACAAATACAAATAAACACAAATAACATTTTTTTAACTAAAGAGCTAGCTGCCATTGCGACAGATGTATGCCCGGGATATGTTTCACCAAAAACAATTTTAGCAAGAGTACTCTCGGAAATCCGGCCACTTTCTCGGACACTGGGTTAAATGCAAAGACACCAATTAACTCAAAATACACTGATATCACTTTCACGTTGATCGAGGCAAACGTATGGTACACGTTTCAGACCTTACACTGTAGGCCTACTTCAATATGTATTATTGTATTACAATACAGCATAAAGTTTTTGTTAAGAAAAACCCAAAACAAGCAACAATGTTGCACGCATGACTTAATAAACAGTGCATCAAGCCCTACTATACTAGTGAGGTCTACTACTAGGCCTATATACCGTACTAATCAATATGATGCCTGATATGTTTCAGTTACTTATTCTACATATATAGAGATACAAAATACTAATAGACCTATACCTAACTAAAATGGAGTGGAATGTGTTAACCACTAAATATTACAATTTCCTTTATTACATATATTATGATTTGTTAATACAGTATTTTAAAGGCAGGAATACCACACCTTCTCAGTTGATTCAAGGACATTTTAACTGTGCTGGTCCTTCATTGATGGACATTCTTAAGAGCTATCACTCATAGAAGCAGTGATTTGTGGTCTATTTATTATCTGGAAGCATACTGTACATCACGGGATCTGGACCTTCTTCTTGAAAAAGCAAAAAAGGAGCTTGTATGTCGCAGAATCATGCATAAGAATAGACCCTACTAAGTTGATACAAATACAAATAAACACAAATAACATTTTTTTAAACTAAAGAGCTAGCTGCCATTGCGACAGATGTATGCCCGGGATATGTTTCACCAAAAACAATTTTAGCAAGAGTACTCTCGGAAATCCGGCCACTTTCTCGGACACTGGGTTAAATGCAAAGACACCAATTAACTCAAAATACACTGATATCACTTTCACGTTGATCGAGGCAAACGTATGGTACACGTTTCAGACCTTACACTGTAGGCCTACTTCAATATGTATTATTGTATTACAATACAGCATAAAGTTTTTGTTAAGAAAAACCCAAAACAAGCAACAATGTTGCACGCATGACTTAATAAACAGTGCATCAAGCCCTACTATACTAGTGAGGTCTACTACTAGGCCTATATACCGTACTAATCAATATGATGCCTGATATGTTTCAGTTACTTATTCTACATATATAGAGATACAAAATACTAATAGACCTATACCTAACTAAAATGGAGTGGAATGTGTTAACCACTAAATATTACAATTTCCTTTATTACATATATTATGATTTGTTAATACAGTATTTTAAAGGCAGGAATACCACACCTTCTCAGTTGATTCAAGGACATTTTAACTGTGCTGGTCCTTCATTGATTGACATTCCTAAGAGCTATCACTCATAGAAGCAGTGATTTGTGGTGTATTTATTATCTAGAAGCATACTGTATATCACGGGATCTGGACCTTCTTCTTGGCAAAGCAAAAAAAAAAAGAGCTTATATACCAGGCATTGCGATAAGCGACACAATTAATTAATAATTTACAAACACGAAATGTCGTTTCGGGATCTGGCAATGTACAAATCATTTAACATTTTTTGTAATTTCATACACCACAAAGGTACCTGTATTTATTTATAATTCAACTACAGTAAATTATATTTCCAGATGTTGTAGGTACAGGCGTTAATGGTTGAAACTAAAACAGTATAGGCTCTTTGTTTAACAAAGAAAAGCACCAATTGTTCCAATGCCAAAAATTATCACGCGTTTAAATCTTTTTATGAGTTTGTAACAATTTCCATACCTATCTTAGCATGATCGATTAATAATTCTGGGTAACTGACAGGGTTTCCCCGACGAAAGCAAAGTGGGCGTGGTAGAGCTTCTATTAAAAGGTGTCGAAAGTGGTCCTAGAGGCGAAGCCCCCGAAAATTTTGACAATTTAGGGGTTTCAAAGGCTTATTTAATCGATTTTAGAGTCTACTAATATGTAGAAAGTATATAATTATTTTTCTCCCCGACGAATTGTGCTTTTTCTCCCCGACGGGGTGGGGGAGCTCTCCCCGACGGGGGGCCCTGGCTCCCCCGCTCCCCCCCCCCCGCTGGCGCCACCTCTGGTAACTGAATCACTATGATATTCAATAGCGGTTAATGGTGAACAAACTAACTCCTTAAAAAATTTAGTTGCCAGAAAGGTGGAGGTTTTGAAGATGCCAGGGCTTTTCACACGTACAGTACTCAGGGTCAATCGACAGCACGCGTTCCTTTCCCCACGGGTCACGGGTGAGGTCTGGGGGTCACCTAATGCCCCAGTGCAGTCGGGTGGCGTTGCCGAAGTGGAGGTCTAGGCGAAACCCACCCCCACCCCAAAGTATTAAGTATTTGGTTGTCTAATTTTTTTACTTTATCCAAAATGGACGACATTTTTTCCATCACTATTTTCACACTACTGGCTCCGGCTTCTACGCGGCCCAGGCCAAGGGTGATTTTCCCACTTACCCCTCTACTACTCTAGGTATAGATTGGCTAAGTGGCGGGTTAAGTTGTGAAAGTGAAAAGCGTCAGCTATTTTATGTGTCTAGTAATATTTGTCCAGTTTGGTACAGATTTTTGCAAAATGTTTGTTTATAATTACAACCGACGTGACTGGGTCAACATGAAATTAGGTACGATCAAATTTTTGAATTTGAGTTTACACAATAATTGGCAATATGATGCTCTGGAAAATTAATCCTGCCTCTCAAATCTCACTACGGTAACTAGGCTACATCAAGCGTTGAGTGGATTTGTATTCTTGTTTTTTTTTTTATTGTAAGGTTATACATTACCAATCAATTTTAAGTCTTTTATTTCCCTTGGCCCACAAAAATTTAGGCCTACTGTAATATGAACTCATAAATTACAGTGTAAATTTAAATTAAGTTTAAAGTGTTCGATCTTTTCGAGAATGTATACCGGTAATAGGAATGCAAACTCATTCAACCTCTCTTTGAATACTTTGATTTTAATGGCAGTTCTTAATGATCCCATGACGTCATCTTAACCATAGGCAAATCAGAGATTCTTATCACCGGAAATAATATAATAATAATCTTTAATATTCATTCTATTGCAAATTAATAGGGGTGGCGCCAATGAGGAAGGTGTTTCCGTTGGAGAGTGCTGTCCCCACCCTCAGCGTAAAAACGGAGAAAAAATCTTGGAGTCTTGGAGGCTAAAATCGATTGTCATAACCTTTCTGAGCTTTGCCTCTGGACTTCCTCCAAGGGGTTCAGATCGGTCCTGACAACGCCCATTTACATTAGGGAAACCCCCCAAATCCTTCCCCCCCCCCCCCACACTACAATCGAAATGAGTTCATATGTATACCTGACGGTACTTGTATAATGTAGGGGATTATTCCACCAGGCCAGAGTCTGTCCTTATTCGAGGTAGCTTTTCTCGCTGTTCTGTGCTTCACTGCCAACGACTCGTTTTTGAACACATCGTCTTGTTGTCCTTCCTGTAAAGAAATTAATAAAGTGGGTTTATATTTTGATTGATTTTCTCACCCAAATTAGCCTTTTTTTTTTAATTGTCAAAGATCAATGGACGTTGCTGAAACATATTTTGTTATCCCGTCTAAGCTACCTTAGACGGGAATAAGGCTATCCAATGTCTCAAAAACTTAAAATATGTTTCGAAGTCCTATGGGTGATATAGATGAAATAAGACAGTATATATATATTCAACTGCGATTGCAACAGCTGTACATTGCTGAGCATTCCCCTGGCCATACCACGATCACTATCTAATAATTGGTGTCTAATCGCCAAGGTCATACAATATTGCTCCACATTATTATTAGCCCAAGGATATGTCTGTCGACCGATACAATAAGTTGAATGTTACTGGTTATAAAACAACAGGCCTACCGAGGCACCTACACCTGGTTATGTACATGTGCCTAGGGCCTAACAAGTACTCTATTATAATAAATTCAAGGTGTGAAATTCACTTATACCTACAGCTTTTCATTCACGATATGTATTGTTACCGGTACGTTTTTTCAAGATTGCCTGTAGGGTATTATGATTTTTTAAAATTCGTTCACACATTTGACGCTACAAAAATGTTTAAATTATATATCACATATAGGGCGTCTAGTGAATATGCTTCTATGCGTATTAATCGCACAGTGACATTTTTTATGGTTAGCTTTTGATCAGCTTTTAAGGCAATTATAAGCAACACATAATTACAAGACGGTGAGCTCAGAAATTTCAATTAAAAATACAATAAAATTGGCCTCTTATTATGACGTAATTTAAACAGTGAAGTATATAGGTAACATATGGTACTCAAAAGAACAAAATATAGAGAACGATGACGGAATCTCTGTTGAGGCATAGTAAGCATACAAAAATTGGTAATGTGAAAGTTCTTTCAGTAAACGTAAGTAAAACAGCCAGAGCACCCCCCCCCAAAAAAAATAAATAAAAAATAAAACAAAACAAAAAAACAAAAAAACAAAAAAATTGGACAACATTACTATATACACGATCGCTTTACAGTCAGTAATTACTGCCTGATAAGTTGGCTTTACCTGAAATAGGCTTATTTCAATAGGCCTTTTTTTTCTCTTTTGTGGGGATTTCGCCCACCTTTATTTCTTTCTCTTTTTGTTATTTTTTACATTTTTTTTTGTCATCAACGACATAAAAAATATCAAGAATCAAGGAAATTAAAATTAAATTGCACAGGATATGGGGGTCAGTCCACCATGGCTGACTAAATTGTTCAACTTCGGTTTTACCTGCATTATCATTTATGTTAACAATCTAAATTAAATCATTATCTCAAAAGCAATTTTTGAAAAAGTGCATCCATTCAAAATTGTGTATACGATTTATTTCAATAGGCCTAGTGGTCGAGCAGTATAATTCCAACCCAACCATTTTAAAATTGTTACCGTAATATTCAAATTCAATACTAAGCATCTATATTTCTTTTAAAATCACTTCCTATTTCATATGTGTTATTATTAGAAATGAGTGACATAAGTTAGCTTTATTCTTGTGGCGTCACATTGTGAATGAACTTTATTGTTAATAATCGCCTCCAAATGGATCTTCATTATTCATACTGTTAGAATTACGAACGCGTCAGTCAATAAATATTTTAGTTTTAGCTTCCACTGTGCCATCAATGGGCGAAATCGATGGTTTCTGTCACTCACATATTTCGAATTATGTTCAATTATTCCCGGAGTTTCATATCAGGTTCAACCATACAATATAACGTCTGTAGCACAAGCTTTCAACAGCAGTGTTTGTCGGCTTCGTGAGGTGAAGTGAAGAGGTAAAGATTGGATTCAGTGGCGGATCTCCAGGAAATCAAAATAGAGGGGCCCAGAGAGTCATTTTCACAGATGAAGGATCTATACCGCCTCAGCCCCACCATTATTGGGGTAGTAGTCGATTATACTGAATTGGACCATGAATAGGCCTATATAAACTTGATGTTCTACCATTCGATATTAATCAGAGTAATTAATACGTATCCTCATGGGTCAGTTCTATAAATCATTGATCACACATTAAATTGGTCATTAAATGCTCTAGGTGTTGTAACAATCCTACAATAATACCTCTACCACAGCAGCACCACTTAACTAACCACCACCATCAGAGGCCTACAACTACTGCTAGGCTACAACAATTAGCATCCGTAAAGCCTGGGTTCCATAATTGCCACACAGTCGCTACAGCGTTTTCACTCCAATCCTTGCACTGCGTACAGCCATCCCTGACGTAATCGGGATTCAACTGACCGATCAGCGTCGACAAATGAGTCAGCGATAGCGTGTAGCGATTGTATGGAAACCAGGCTTTACTTAAAAACAAACGTAAAACATAGTCAACGCTAATTCTCTGTTCAGGCTTCTCTGGAGCCAGTTACCCATTTGTGTTAAACAAAAATGTAGTTCTATTTACGAAGAATTTAAAAAAAACTTATTTTTTATAGCTTTTTATTCTAGATTATTTTTCACTTTCACTTTTAATAATTTTTGAATTGGCGCTGTAAAAGCTATTGCACAGCTGCTATTATTTGTTTTGTTATTATTTGTGTATTGCTGATAGGTAGTCCTAATACAGAAAAAAACAATCATCTCTAAACGTCAAATATATAAGGGCATGCGGGTCTATATTTGATATTCCTTTATAATAACTTCGGAGCAATCTCTGAGTATAGGTGACCTTGATTTACAGCACTGCGAACACGATGTGAAATATGATATAAACGTTTTCTGAAGATGGCAGCTAAAAAAATCAGTTCCTGGTGAGTGAATTCTACTGGTTAAAAACCCCAGCTTCCCAGCATTTCTGTTGTGTTTACACCTGAAGTTATAATTTAACAAACTTTCATTCTATCCCTGGGACTCTATTTTTCATTTCCGCCGGCTATAAAACATAATTTATACATTCTTTCAAGATTAAATTTCAAAACGAGCTAATGACCAATTTCATTGGAGAACAGATTGGCCTACCTGATTATATATACATTATATGTACCGTACATCTGTTATTATTACTTAAATGTGCACGTTTAATCATGGTTGTCATTGTATTCTAAATGTTTTTAACGACGCAATACATGATATAATATCAGTGTCGAATCCAGCAATTTTAAATAGAGGTGGGGGAGAGGGACTTTCCCAGATGGAGGGTATAATATATCAGAAAATTTATGATTATGGCACCTCTAGATGGCCTGAAATGACAAAAATTGGAATATAATTTTCTTTTTATCTCCATTTTATGTTAAATCTTGACAAATTAAGGGTCCCAGGCCGTCTCAGGGTGGATCGAGGATCACATGACAGTTCCTGGACTAGGTACGCACCAAGTAGTCCAATCCATTACCACTGCATAAATTAGGCCTTTATGGTGCCGATGATAAAATGATGATGAGATGATGATGGTGATGATGATGATGATGATGATGATGATGATGATGACGACAACGATGATCATCATCATGTGGATACTAGATCATTGGGTCAATGGCAAAATCTCCAGACGTAGCACGTCAATAGGTTAACAACGATGATCATAATAATAATAATGATAATGATTTTTTTGTTGTTGATGATGATGATCATAATCATGTGGATACAAGATCAATAATTGGCAAAATCTCCATAGAGGTATCACGTCAATAAGATAACGATCATAATAATAATGATGGTTATGATGATAATGGAGAGTGGATCACTGGTTCAATAATTGGCAAATGCTCCATATATGTATCACGCCAACTGAATATCGATAATGATCATAATGATGATGAAGTTATACGGTTGGTTGTTGATGACGACAAGGCTGAAGATGTTGGTGATGTTGGCAGTGTTGTGAAGTTGACTTTTATATTGATAGCAACACTTGCTGACTGCTGATTGATGATGATGATCTGCCTTCGATACTTTCATTAGCTAACCGGTTACACTCTCTGTAATTTCATTTTTGGGACCTAAAAGATCAATATCTTATTTGTTGTATATTCTACAAGGGTTGTATGGCTTGTCATAAGGGATGCCTAAGACCGCATTCATCGGATACTTCTCTAAATAGTGGGCGAATAAAAAATGGTTGTTAATGAAGCATATTATTGAAGGCATGGTACTTTTTTTAGTGATTCTCATGTGGTTTTGAAAAACATATAACATATATGTGCTGTGTCATATTATGAAAAGTCTGAAAAATGATTTTATTTGCAAACCTTACTAATTACAACATCCCATGGAGGAAGCACCTTTCGCTCCGTGCTGACAAGTACACCAAGATATGTCAAATTAGCGACTCAATGTGTATACAATTCAATATATTTGTATGAGTCACTTATTGCAAAGTAAAACTGACCTACTAATAGTTCCACGATAAATAACTAATATTTGTATGAACATTTAATTGCCGATGATTTCCCATCGCCAAGGCATTCTTAAAGGTAAAATGACAACCACGAAAATATACAGAAATAGAACTACCCCATAATTTCAATTGGACATTGTCTAAACTTTACTCACTGAAGCCCTTGTTGCATATAATAATAGCCTAATAATAATAATAATAATAATAATAATAATAATAATAATAATAATAACGATGATGATGATTATAACAATAACAAACACAAAAACAATAATAACAATAATAAAAATAATAATTTTATTAATAATATATTCCTAATAAAACTAGGCCTACACTATATTCAACAAATTCTGAATAATTATCATTCATTCAATCATTCAGGAATAAACATATAAAAATTACGGGCATACATGACTTAAACAATGAATCAAAATAATGTATGACACTAATAGAAATCAAAGCATGCATTGAAAACCAACCAACCATGCAATAGTTGATAACATATCAATATTATATATTAATGTTTGCGGTACACCACGTAGATAGTTTTGAAAAGAACTGTTGTTGTTTGGTTTAGAATATCTCGACGTTTCAAATGAGTTACTTTAATCGTCTTCAGGAGAATAATATCTGCAGCAATCACAAAACTGTGAAATACTTATAATGCAGTAATTAGGCCTAGTTATAAGACGAAAAACACTGACTTATAGGGTTCAGTAAAAGTCTTTCCTGTCTTGCCTTCAAAGTAGACTATTCACAACAGCTGTGATATAAAAATAACAACGTCGTACGACCAAAGGTTATAAAAAAGTTTATACCTCCTTTGGTACGGCGTATTCAAAATTATTTAGCCACATCCTTTGCGAATTTGTTCCACAAGTGCGAGTGATTGAGTGGTTGATTGAGTGACAAAGTGATTGATTTAATTGAATGACAATTGAACGTTGATGTGTTTTTATTTTTTGAATGAAAGTGACACAACTTCTTTCATAAACAGTGTGGTTTTACTTTGCTTTAATTTGATCATGATCTGTTGGAAACTTTTTTATCGTATATACGCCTAATAAAGTTAGAGCTCAGTATTTTGAGATTCATATAGGCATAGTTAGCATATCATATTGACCAGTCGAAGTATTGTTACTGAATAATGCTATACACATAATAATATGAATTATTGTATATGTCACGTCCTGACTGATTATCATAATTAAAGTATTACATTAATTTCTAAGTATATCTCATCAATAATAAATTTTTACACATACAAGTCTTCATATATAAAGAAACCCCCTGAGATAAAAAAAAAAATATGGAGCTTTCGTGGTGATAGGTGTCCAGTTGCGATCGTATAGGAAACAGATGAGTATTAAGTTTGAGATTAAATATATGTAGATTATATTTAGAAGATATATATAGATGTAAAATAAACATTTGAGAATATACACATACAGAATACACATTATCATATAAGCCAATTTTATACGGTATGTATTATATGGCATATACAGTACATTCATTTTTCAACTAGGCCTCACCTTATATGTAGTAGGCCTATAATATTTAGGGAAAGAGAGTACTGTATACACATTTCATTTTATTTCATTCAAAACGATTACAAACAAATTAAAGAGAGTCGTGCTGGACCGGATTACTCAGAAGTGATCTAGAGATTATAGATCCATCAGCTTTCGAGGAGCTCTCCGAAACACGACTGTCGTAAAAAAAAAAAAAAAAAAAAAAAAAAAAAAAAAAAAAAAACGACTGTCGTAAAAAAAAAAAAAAAAAAAAAAAAAAAATAGTAAAAACAAATATTGTACGCGTTACTCTTTAAATACGCTATAGGATTATAGAAATATGTAGGAGTGAATTTTAAGTGATTTTAATGTCTACTGTTAATTTAAACATAATTAGAAATATAATAATGCATGTGTATATGGATAATTGTATATTATGTTCAAACGTAACAGAAGAGGAACCTGCGACAACCTGCGACAACCTGCGACCCAACAGTATAAGCGAATCACGAAGTTGCAGTGGTAATCCAAGTGCCAATAGACTCTGTATTCCCATGCTTTTGAACCATATGTATGTATACATAATATATAAATACACATGTATGTATGTATATATATATATATATATATATATCTATATATATATGTATGTATGTATATATGTAGGCCTATATGTATATATAGGCCTATACACACACAACAAAACTTTAATCAGACATATTCTACAATATGTTATAACACAGGGATATTTATAATGTAATTTATTAAATAGATACTACAGCTAATTATCTTTCTTTAAACATATAAAATAAGGTAGATAACAATGCATACAATTAATAAGTATATGCAGTTATTTAGCACAAATCAAAAACAGAAAAACCTCTGTTAGTATAATTTTCGAGAGTGTAGAACTTACCGTTACTCCCTTTGCCGCCTGTTGTGAGAAACTGATTATATTCCCAGAGGAAAAAATAGGCAATATAATAATATGAATACACAACCTTAGGAGGTCCATAATTGAAGATGTTTAGATACGCCCGCTCCTCGGTACAGTCGTCTTTCCTCAACCATGATTTCCGAACGACTGGCGGATTGCTGTCAAAGTACTCGCATAACAAGTCAATAGGGTCGTGCGAACCTGAGATCACTAACCCTGAAAGTTGACAACAGTAAAGACCGGTAGTAATCCCCAAGAACAAGCCACAACTTTTTTCTATGAATGAAAAGCCTGTGTTACTAACGTAACAATGTATATTCGTCGCTGATTGGTCTGGTTAATCCACTATTGTGTTTGTCATAATATATGGTTTTTAATGGTCCATGTCTGAAACATAATAGGCGTACGTGTAGATCTATATCATTTCATATTGTTCTATATTAAATTTAACCACAGAGACTATTAAACTAAATCAGTTTAGGGACCTATAAATATTTGAAGTTCAACATTAACCCGACTGAGTGTCAAGACCTCGTTTAAACTTCATGATCATACCATGATAAAATATTTTTATTGCAATCTGTCTCAATATTTGCAAAATTTAAAGTTATAAAATATATGATGACTAAATAAAAAATGAGTTAATCCTGAGAGCGTTTGATCTATAAATAACTAAATATAGGCCTGCGATCTCAGTTTGGCGGTGGACAATACATTTATGTATTTAAATGCATGTAAATCTAAGTTAGTAGTTTTGTACGCACTGTGGCTGATACTAAAAAGAGCCTACTTCAGCAACACGGGGTCATGCTTTAGCGCCTTTCCTTTATGACGTTTTCAGATCTAATTCCAAATTATCATTACTTCCAAACGAAGTTCAGTTTATATTTCAGTTTCCTCTATTAACGATAATTAATTGAATTTGTAGACGATCAACTCATTTGCATATATGAATCATGTATGTACATGCAAGTTAATTCACAATAAAATGGAGTCAACTATAGGGTATAGGCATAAATGTGTGTTGCAGGAAATGGACCAGTGATGAAATAGTATCGGTAGTCGTGTAGTCTGAATATATAGGAATAAAGATAATTTAGACAGCATTTCACATTTTCAGACTTACAGGCTTTAAATTAAAGCAGGAGTAGACGGTGTTTCCGGCTTAAGAAGTATTTTCTAGATCTAGGTGCGCTTCTATATTTACACCATACTTTGTTAATCATGGTTCAAATGATATTAGTACGGTATGGTACCAGAACATGTTCTCAACAATTAACAAAAAAGCTTTATACTTTATTGCATACTGACGGGTAATGATAGTAGGCCTATCAGCAAAATATGGGTTGTTTTGATAAGTGATAATTTAGGCTATTTGAATGTTTGATTTTGTAATTTTTAGTTAATTTATTGCATTTAAATTATATATATATATATATATATATATATATATATACATATAAAATACATAGTGATCAGAATTATCAATTAAATTGATGCGATTCCAGGTATGCCTCGGTTATAGAATGGTTGACAGACATGAAAGTACTGCAAGACACTTTGACTTAATTGAGACATTAAATTTTATTGGTATAGGCCTACATATATATGTCTCTGTCTCTTATACACATCTAGATGTGTATAAGAGACAGCCGTTTAACACTGTTAAATTATATATATATATATAAATCATCAAAGAAAGGTAAATACAGTGTTTTAATAAAGGACATTAATACATCGCGTAGCATAGCTCTCAACGAATGTAGTCCTGTAAAATAAATGAATAAAGAAATTGTGTAATAAAATGCCTCTGGCGGGACTCGAACCTGTGACCTCTCGCTGTCAAGGCGAGCGTCATAACCATTAGACCACGGAGGCTTCATGGTTGAACATATTCAAATACCACCAGATATACTCCATTACACAATAGGTACGGCTAGAAACAATATAGGTACATATAATATAAATCAAGATAGCCGTTAACACTGTTAAATTATATATAATAAATCATCAAAGAAAGGTAAATACAGTGTTTTAATAAAGGACATTAATGCATCGCGTAGCATAGCTCTCAACGAATGTAGTCCTGTAAAAGAAATGAATAAAGAAATTGTGTAATAAAATGCCTCTGGCGGGACTCGAACCTGCGACCTCTTGCTGTCAAGGCGAGCGTCATAACCATTAGACCACGGAGGCTTCATGGTTGAACAGATTCAAATACCACCAGATACACTCCATTACACAATAGGTACGGCTAGAAACAATATAGGTACATATACCTATATTAAAACACTGTATTTACAGGTATATATAGGTACATATACCTATATTAAAACACTGTATTTACCTTTCTTTGATGATTTATTATATATAATTTAACAGTGTTAACGGCTATCTTGATTTATATTATATGTACCTATATTGTTTCTAGCCGTACCTTATGTACCTATATTGTTTCTAGCCGTTCCTATTGTGTAATGGAGTGTATCTGGTGGTATTTGAATCTGTTCAACCATGAAGCCTCCGTGGTCTAATGGTTATGACGCTCGCCTTGACAGCGAGAGGTCGCAGGTTTGAGTCCCGACAGAGGCATTTTATTACACAATTTCTTTATTCATTTATTTTACAGGACTACATTCGTTGAGAGCTATGCTACGCGATGTATTAATGTCCTTTATTAAAACACTGTATTTACCTTTCTTTGATGATTTATTATATATATATATGTATATTATATTTATAATTATTATATATATAAATGTATAATCAAAATCAAATCAAATCTAAATTAGAAATTCAATGTTTAAAATTGTTGGAATTGATCGAGATTTGACTTCAGATATAGGCCTAGGCCTATATCTTTATGTTAAAATAAAATCAACAATCACGAATCAAGTCACAAAAGTAATTTAACTTTCATTCCTTACGGTACCGGTACCCAATACACAACATACGAAAAATTAATTTTAAATTATGAAGTAATAATTTCCATTTGCTATGCAAAATCCGAAGAACGTGTTTCCTTCTTTCGAACACTAAAACGTTTTATTGAATTGATTTTAAGGAACTTGTCACTTATTATAATAGCATTAATGGCTTTGGTTATGGTATACGGTAAGTATTCATAAAAATTAGTTACAGTTTGGAATTTATTTTTAAGTAGTACGGTAGTATTGTTGATCCTGGTTATATCAGCAATTAGTCGTTCTTCTACCTTCCTTTGTAAACTTTTTAATCTTTCGAAAACGTCAACATAAATGATACCATAAATACAGAGCAAACAAAACAAAAATTTTGTTTAGAACTCTTCTGTGTCAATCAACTACAACGGTCTTTTGAAGATAGCAATACAAATTGTGTATATATAGGCCTACGCACGTGGTTCTAACGTTGATGATGACGATGATAATAATAAGCTCAACTTGGTAGGCCTATAGAGCGTATATTATGCTAAATGCATTGCGCATTTGTCAGTTTATTTTATAGTTAAAATATCAACAATAAATAATTAAAATAAACAAACCTTCCTTTCAACATCGGCAGATGATGGATATGGGTGTAGTATTTATTATTATTATTATTATTATTATTATTATTATTATTATTATTATTATTATTGGTTATAATTAAAATATTTTCACCCTGAACTTTTCATACAAAACCAAGTAAAAGGTTTATTATTATTATTATTATTATTTTTATTATTGTTATTATTATTATTATTATTACTATTATTATTATTATTATTATTATTATTATTATTATTATTATTATTATTATTATTATTATTATTATTATTATTGGTTATAATTAAAATATTTTCACCCTGAACTTTTCATACAAAACCAAGTACAAGGTATAAAATATTATTTCAGCCTAAGGTATATGTCCTTGAATGAACAGCGGCAACAAAATACAGTAGGTGAACTTGATCGCATGGTTAATTTTATATAATTTGAAATGTTGATACAGAATAATGAAAATAATTCCAGCTTCTTTAATTTTGCTATACATTTTGTGGGCGCAGGCTCTGGACCGTAACGCAAAAAACCGGCGGAAGCACGAAGTGGGCACGGTTGGCACAGTGGCGTCGCGGTTCAACATTGAGGTCGGAGTTCCGAATCCACTCGCTCTGCATTTCACTTGCGTTCTTTGACAAGGCACTTATTATCTAAATTTGCCTCTTTCTACCCAGGAGTATAAATGGGTATTGAATGTATTAGTTTGTGCGATGCGTACACGGTCGCACGAGCTACCAATCTCCCCAATGAGCATGGAAGGTTTGTGCCGGTTTGGCCTATTAACGTGTTATGGTCTAGCTTGGAATTTGCGACATACAAATTCGAGACATTATATTTATATTGTATATTTTAAGAAGAGAGTTTAGGACATGAAAGATGACATGAAAACTCAAAGTAATTGGGACTTTCGCCTCTGGGTATAATTTATTACAGCGGCTGTGGAGCTTGCTCATCCAGATTGTATTTTACATCAGTTTGATATGTAAAAAACACGTCTATAGCCGTTACCTTATATCTCGGTTAAACTCATTCTCGAGGCCCCCAGCTCAATTAGTACTCTGACAGTATAGATTGTTAAATCATAGCTCGGCAAACATCCGCGCTGGATCGACCTCTTCAATCTGACGTTTCCTATGAGCTAATCTGTATTATAACATTTTAACATTGAACATAAATCTCAGTTAATGGAATACCATTCACTGCCAAGTAAGACGGACAGGACACAGTGCCTACTTATATCATCAATTAATTCTAGGCCTAAAACCGAAACTTTTAAATATACTTTTCACACTAAAGATATACCGTACCGTACTGTATCTGATCAGCCTAAAAAACATTCCGCCAGCTAGCGTCCCTCACCTTTCTATTGTCCTCTCCCCAGGCACCCTATATACTAATGAATAAATTGATGTTTGTGAGAGTGTAGATATTTTACAAATTTTAGTATCTTTATTAGGTTTGTGAATTGTGTGCCCCTTAAAGTAGACTATTGTTTTAACAAAAGATAATCATCTTCTTAAAAAAAACTGGATAGGCCACTCTCATCAAGGATTGTAATAATAAACAACGAAACGCTAGAAATACTTTTTTTTTGTATCACAACCAAACTCCATTGTCCAAGCTCTGCCCTTGGATCTCTCGCTTGAGGCCCTTTGCCGGCCTCCAAACACCTGTCATTGGGGCCTCTGAAGCTACGCTGCCCCGTGGCCCAGGGTCGCTCTCCCTCGTGATAATGTATATAATTGTGATAAACATTTAACGTACAATGTTCATGCACTGCAAAGTTCAAAGATAGTCTGTGAACATCGTAGGCCTATGGGGTTTTTACTTGGCGATTTTCCAGACATCAGCTGATGCGCCTGGCGGATAGCCAGGACAATTTATTTGTTTATATTACTAGAGTACTGCGGGCACTTGCAAAGCACTTCGACTTTTTGTTTCGACGTGACCAGTAGGCCTACATGTATATTTCCCTGACGAATTGCGTTTTTCTCCAAATCGGTCGAGCGGAACATTTTAAGAAGTAAAACATCAATAAAAAAAAATAAAAAACAAAAAAAAAACACACAAAAAAAAAAAACACTTCTATGTAGACCTACTTCTTTTTAAAAGAAAAAATTTAAGAAGAACATTAAGGCTGAAATTGCTTAAAAATTGAGAACAAAATATGAATTGAAGCTGATGTAAAATGCCAAATAAAGTTGTTATTTGTAGCACCGGAGTTTTTCTTATCGTGTGCAAACACACACATACTTGTTTCAGCCAGAGCTGGACAGAGTTTCTAGCACAATAATTGTTCTCTGTCAGGCCCATCTGATGGCATAATGGAAATGATGATATCATGTTGCCTTGATCTTGCGTGTGGTGGTGGTAGAATTAACGTTATCCAGGCCGCGACGATCGGTCGAGGACGCTTCTCAAATGACCCCAGTAAGCTTAGAGTTGTAGTTGTGACTATATAACCCTCTATATTAACCCTCTATAATACAGTACAGTAAATATACTACTGTAAAATAATAATTTTGTATGTTTAAAATGTGTGTAAAAATAAGAAAATTTTGAGCCTAAAATCGAAAAAAAAAAAAAAAACATAAGACCCCAGAGCATGGGAAAAATAACTGGCTCTTATAAAAAAATGTACGCCCTTGAAACGTCATAACGTCGAAGCGCGGGTTTGATCCGTTCCCCCTGGGCTCTCTACTCAGACCCCAGCACCCAGGGTAGTAGAGTCCTAAAACGCCACTGATTTTTTTGGAGTTGAGTTCGCGTTATACTTGAGAGTGTAGACACACCTGAGGCCCCTAAATTTATTACAGAGTCTTACTCTTGATTATGGATTATTATATTCGTATTATAAAAAATACGTTTATATCGCACCACTTGATCCTTTTTTAGGGAACTACCTATTAGGTTACACCTATAATTTAAATAAGTTAATTTAGTAAAAACTATAGTAGTCCTAATAAAGACAAGATAGTTGGTTCTTCCTATGAGCATTCGTCCCTGCTACGGGATTAACTCGAGGTAAGTATTCTAATTCGGTCATGGACGCATGCTCCTGTCTAAATGGCCTTTTGGTTGAGCAAGTGTGTGAATTCCCGGCATTTCTAACTTTGGGTATTGTATTGATGGAGCTCTGTGGATTAGGAAGATATAGGCCTAGGCCTAGTTTTCCTTTATATATTATTAAGCAGTAATTTGCTTACAAAAGGAATAAAAAAATTACCTAAAACACCCAAAAAAGCCGCCTCCCCGACTTGTATTAATACTAAATGGAACTGTCATTTTGTACCGGTGGTGCCAGGAATTTATAAATACAAAGAAGTGAATTAGTGTACGACCATGACTTTCAATTAAAAGAAATTTACCAGAATGCTCTCTACACTGTAAGTCATCAGTTAGGTCTAATGTTATTATATCTCTAACTGTCATATTGTATAGGGGAAAAACAATGTTACATCCCAGGGGCGGATTTTTTTTCGGGGGCTGGGGGGGGGGCTGGCTGACACCCCCCCCCCTTTTTTTTGGAAAGCAAAAAAGAAAAGAAAGGAAGAAAAACAAAAATAAAATGATCACCTAAAGCGCCTGACAGGTTATTTTCGGGCGTCTAGAACACCAAATTTTCGCGGGGGCATTGTTCTGGACCCTTAAGGTAGTGTTATCTCAATCGGCCCCACTTTCTCCCCTCCCCACCCCTTTCGGACATGTCTGTATCCGCCCCTACATCCAACGGCAAGATATACATTGCGAATTAGGTGTTTGTTATCACTATTGCCATAAATATATATTTTAAAGAAAAGTATCGGGGATCCTGTCTCGTTAAATGCTGAAGATGAATCTGTATTATATTGATCTCTGTTATTTAATGCATCGAGAACTGACGTTGTTCCACGCATGTGCAAGAATGTGAAATACATGAATTGCTTCTATTTGGTTTTAAATTCCCATCGAAGACCCAGTGGCCAAGTTAGGTAAGGCGTCTGCATAAAGTAAGGTGGCGGGACAACTCTTTTATATTTCTATTGTTCCTCTAATTTGTTTTATAAGCTGTTGAAGGTTTTGCATACTACTACGTCATCCATTGTACAAGTCTAGAACTCTTCACAATCATGCATACACGAGGCTACCAATGCTTGATAAAGGTCTAAGG